CTTCCTAATTTGCCCTAAACTAAGACAAGGCATGAACTTGCTCTCAGGTGAGCAGGACAAAGTCCTGGGATTTAATACACTACATGATGCACCTAGAGCCATGTCACCACTTAAAATGGCTTCAAGGAATTTAGTGGATTGCTTTTCAAATTACTCACTTAATGTGACTCATTCTTGCCTATTTATTAATCTTACAAGTTTCCACGTCTAAAAAAAGCCACTGAAGTTTGGGCACTTTGCTCCAGCCACTACAGGAGAGGAGAATCCCAGCTGCTCAGGGCAAATGTTATGGTTATGGACAAGGGGTCCAAAGGACCACAGCAGAATTAGGGAAGGGTTCACTGCTGTCCCACTCTTACCTTGCCTTCATGGTGCTTTCAGTGTTTTTTATGGTGCTCCTGGTGCCCATGGAGATGATGCCCCGATGGGGGGTGCCCATGGGGGTGCTGGCCAGGAGGAGCAGGGCCCGGGGGGCAGACTGCCAGGTTCTCGCCAGGACCACGGTATCCTGGAGGGGCAGCAGGGCAAACTGCAACACCAGGAGGGTAGGGACTTCTGTCAGGACCACGGTATCCTGGAGGGGCGGGTGGGCACACTGCAAGGTATGCTTTTGGTGGGCCTAGAAAGAAGGGGGACTGTTAGTGGGCAGAGACAGACAGTGCAGGGAACTGGTGTACCCATCCCGGTCTACCTCTTCCTCACAATGGACACCCCACACCCCTTTGGGATGCAGGTAAATCCCCCAGGTGTCTGTGGCTATGGCACAGAGCTCCCCTCTAAGCCTTGATGGCTGTATGGTACCTGCAGCCCTGCCTGGCCGCACGGCCCCTCACCTTGGTTGTGGTCACACATCCTCAGCGGTCTCCAAGCTGAAAGGGAAGGACAGGCACCATCAGTCACCTCCTGCCATGGGACATTGGCCAGCCAGCAGCTGGGACCTGTCTCCTCTGTCCCACATGTCTGCCTCCAGCTCAGGGACTACACTTGCTTTCCCAGCAGTGCCGTCCCCCCACAGACTCCGACTGCTGTCCTGTCCCTTTGGTGACAGCGCCAACCCCCAGAATGACTGTCCCCTGCTCCATGCACACCTAAAGCCCAGGCATGCGGTTTCCATCGTTAATAGAAATATACCCACACTGGCCCAGCCTGGGTGCCAGGCTCGTATCCTCATGGGCCACAAGGGACTGGGGACACGTGCCTGGGTGCAGTGCCAGACATGGGGACAGTGCACCCTGACCCATGCTCCCGCTGCCCCCGTGATCCTCCGCTGCCCTGCATTCACCAAACCTGCAGAAAAGTTCCCAGAAGAGGCAATGCCGGCAGCACTCGGGATCCCCGTCCTTGGCACGGCACTCCCGGCTGTCGAGCACCTATTAAATAGCGGGGCCCTGCCCCGGTGAGCCGGGGTGCGGTGGGGAGGGGTGACACCGGAGTGGTGGCACCGCACCGTCACCATGGACACGCGGGAAACGTCAACACGCCGCTCCCAGCCGGCACAAAGGTCCCACAGGGATAATAAACACAGGCGATGGAGGGCGGAGATTCCAGCTCCCGGAGTCATGGGATGGATGGAGTGAGTCAGCTGACCCCACCATGAACCCCGGCTCGGTGCTCCGAGCTCAGGCACAATGCCCAGGAACAGGGGTGACTTTCCCATAGCACGGGGCTATGGGACAGCGAGGTGCGGGGCCAGACACTGCTCAGCGTGCTGCCGCGGTGTGCGGGTGGAGGACACAGTATCTGGCTGTCACACACGGTCAACAGGGACAGGAGGCAGGGCTGGATGCCCGGATTTTCAGGTTTTCTTCTTGGAAGATCTATGAGAAGGGTGCAGGGTTTCTCCCATCTCAACCCGCCCCATCTCCCTGCTAACGCCCCTGATGGTGCCTCATGTTTGGCAATGCTCCCTTCCCAGGCAATTCAACAGGCTGGAATTGTCACATGCAGCCTGAAAGACACCTGGCAGAAAGGGACTGTGCCAGGTCTTGCCCCAGATCTCGGGTGGGAGGGTATTTCGTGGGGGTTTCTGGACACAGGGACTGTGCAGGGTCAGGAGGTGCTCATGCACAGGGATCTTGTAGCAGGCAATGCTACAAGGATCCTGCCATCCCTTCCTGGGATCACTGTGGTCCCAGGCACTGCCAACCCAGTCGTCTACTTCTGCCCCAGGGATGGGAGGATGGAGCCCAGAGTCCAAGCCCCTGACAGCAAAAAAATCCCCCATGTCCAGGGAAAGGCCAGGGGATATGATGCTGCATGTGCCTGAGCAGAGCAGCTCTCCAGAGGTGGATACCAACAGAACCTAGGCAGCAACAATAGTATTTCCGAGCTGTATTTGCCCCAGAACATTCCCGAGCCCTTCTCAGACCACCCGCTTGTCCAGCAGTGCCAGCACGACCGCCAAGCCTTGCTTTGCCTCTTCCAGCAGCTCAGAGACCTTCTGTAACATCTGTGTGGGGACAAGATGCATCATTTGGCACTCGGCAGGCCAGGAGAGACATCCACCGAGCACCCCATGTGTCCTGCCAGCGGCAAAGGGGCACCAGCAGCCCTGTGGCGTCACTGCCATCTCCGCCCCCCTCAGCCACACCGCCTGTGCGGCCCGGCTCACCACACGCTTGAACTCCTCATCCTCAATGTCCCTGAGGTTGATCATGACATTGCAGTAAGCTCCGAACACTGCCGCTTCCAGCATTTTGGCTCCCACCTGGAGAAAGTCGGGCTTGTGAGAAGCTCTCCTGGTGACCCAGCTCCACCATACAGCGCTGAAGCAGGTCAGACCCTTACGCTGCAGGACTCCCACCCTGCACCACCCAGCAGCATGCAGTGTTTTCCAATCTCTTGGTATTCTCAGGAAATGGCTGCCAAAGAATTACTGGGTGGAAACCACTGGCCAGTTTTGGAAGCACAGCCGGAGGAATGCATCTTGGAGGTCAAGACATGAGGGAACACCTTGCAGGGCAAGTGTGTCAGCTGGGGCCATACCTGGATGTCAGATTTGCAGGCCAGGTTGCAGTGTCGTGCCAGCTCCTTCAGAGCAGGCCAGAGCCCGCTCACTTTCTCTGCCAGGCCATAGGGCACTCCCACGGCCGACTTCAGCCCCTGCTGCATGGCACTTCTGCGCCTGAGAGGGGGGACAGCCCTGGGGTGAGTGCTGAGTGGCTGTGCCTCCGCAGTGAGCCAGTCCCCACCAGCCCAGCTAACCTCTCCTGCTCCTCAGGGGTGTTCTTGGGCAGCTTCATGGCTTCCTGTAGGCAAAAAAAGCAGGTTTGCTGCTGTCATCCAGATCGTGCCTCGCATCAGGGGTCAGGGCAGACCCCATAGCTCCTGTGCCCTTGCAAATCTCCCTTATGTGACGACAGTCCCTTCCCCTGGCCCTGGCTTTAGCGTCCCTGGAAGTGTTCAAAAAGGAAGCAGATGTGGCACTTTGTCATATGCTTTAGTGGGTATGGGTGTACTCAGTAGAAAGTTGGACTTGATAATCTTGGAGGTCTTTTCCAACCTTAATGATTCTATGATTCTAAGGTCAGACCCCTGCTCCTAAGGAATCCAGAGCACATCAATCCTAGCCCTCCTCCCAGCTGGAAAGCCCCCCTGTTTCCCTGCAGGATGCCTCTGGTGGGACCTCACCATGTAGCTGCTGAAGGCACGGGAGTCAGCATCCACCATAGCCACCAGCTCTTCCATGGCCTGGTGGAAAGGAGGGATCAGCTTCCTCATGATGGGGTCCAGGTCCTCAAACTGCCGCTTCCCATAGCTCATCAGTCCCACCATGCTGCCCAGTGCTGCTCCCTGCCAGGGTAAATCCTCCAGTAAGACACAGTGCCCACTGCTACCACCATGCCAGCTCCTCTTGGCACACCCAGGGCCCCTAGGCATCTGTCTCGGTGTGCGGCACATACCAGGGCTCCCGCAGCTGCAGACACAGAGCCTCCTCCTGGCGCTGCTGACCTCGCTCCAACTGCTTGCACAAAGGCACCCAGTGGCTTGGCAACCAGCCCCCTGTCCACCTCTCCTGCCTCCACCAAGTACCTGCAGCACAAGTGGTTTAATCCCCTCCAGGTGCAGAGACATCACCACCACCCAGACCCTTCTCACCCAGCACTGTTCTCTCCAGCACTGACCCCATGAATGAGTAGGGGACTAACCCAAAAAATGCAGCCTGAGGGTCAGGGTAAGGACTGGGAACCCCACGGTGACTGCTGAGGAGCACAGGTGGTGTGGGGGTTGCCCTGAATAAGGTGGGTTGAGCTGATGCAAACAGCATTTTGTGGGACAGAAACACCCCTGTAGCCATGGCCCAGGAGGGTGACAAGGACTTCACCTCATGGGTGGATTTCCCTTCCTTTCCCCCCACAGACTCATGTTTCACACCGGGTGCTGCAGCATGAAGCAGAGGGAGTGAAATTTTGCATGGGGATAGGGTAAGGAATTTAACCTTCAAATCTGGCCACGAAACCTGCTCCCACTGACTGCTGAAGCAACCTGAAGTTCCCCCACTCCATGTTCACATACATCAGCATTTGGGAGCAGGGAACCACCCTGCTCCTGCACAACACCCAACAGAGATGTCCCCAGGCTGTGAAGAGGAGCTGGGAGCAGCCTCCACTCCCAAAACAAGCTGAGTGCAGGATGCAGGCAGCAGGATCCCCCCCCCCATCCAGGCAGGAACAGGCACCATGACAAGAAGTAGGATGTGGGTCCCTACTCGATGATGCGCTCCCGGGGGCGAAATGGAGACAGGGAGTCCAGGCCCAGCCGATTGACAACCTGCAAGGAGCAGCGCTGCTGTGTCAGCCCTGTCACATAAGTCCTGCTGCATCCTCATTCCCCACTGCTAATTAACCATGGGTGAGTCAGAGCTTTGACTGGGCCACCACCCAGGGAGAGGACAGCTGGCACCACCAGCCCATCCCCTCCCAGACTCGGGGGCAATGTGCAGTCACCTCCAAATGACTGGGAACTGTACAGATAAATCATTAGCTTGCTCTTATCTAGCACGTTCCCCACAGGCTGGAAAAGTCCCTCCCTCCTGCAGTGGAACAGCAGGGCCTGTCTCCTCCTTTCCAGCTTACTCCCCATCCTAGGACAGCCTCACATAATGCCACACATTGTCCCTGAGATCTGGGGACACCTCTTCCCTCCTGGCTTCCATGCAGGCAAGACAAGTGGCTGCTACACACTCAGTCCTCATGGGTTGTGGTTCCTGCTCCCTGTGCATCTCAGCGTGGTCAGAACAATAAAGCAATTTGTCCCACTCACTGTCCCCCCACCCCCCACAAAATCCACCCTGGAGACAAGTGTCGTGCCTGGGGCCTGAGTAGTCCCAAATCTCTGCTCAGTGCTACTTTGGGAGGCTGGTGAGGGGTGGGATGTGACTCTCTCATGATCCCACCCTTGTGCTGGTAACAGGAGAAGCCACATTACCAGTCTGATCTTCTGTTCCTCCTCCAGGATGAAGAGTTTTTCCTTCTTGATGTAAAACTCAGCTGCATCCATCATGGCCTTCTTGGGAATGAGCCCCACCAGCTGAGACCCCACCACTGGGAGATTCAGTTCCTGCAAAGGACATCAGAAATGTGATTTTCCTCAGAGCCCTGCTGCCACTACTACTGGTGGTCCTATTCCCTTCCCAAGACATGGGAAGCTCACAGAAAAGCTTTCAACAGAGGAGCTGGGTTGCAAGTTGCTGAGTTTCTGGGGGTTTTGTGCCATTTCTCACTTTGGCTGAGCTAAGCATGAGAGAAAACAGAGCCTGACCTGAGGGTAGGTCATAGAGCTTGCTGGGAGACATCCTCTGGGAAGCCCCCTTGGGAACAAGCACCCCAGGCCCCCCACCTGTGCATCTCGGCAGATCTCCTCATAGACGGTGTGGAGTGGTGTGGTCTCAAAGTCCAGCAGGTTTGTCGAAACCTGGGCCATGTTCTCCTCTTCCAAATACCAGCCAATGCCCTGCACCTTCTTCAAGCGCCCGGGCTGCCAACAACTGCCACATTCAGGGCACAGCCCAGGAGGTGTGGGGACAGGCAGGTGTGCTCCTGGTGTGCCCACGCTCCTGGGGTACCTGGTTGGGCCCGCGGCCCTGCTCGCGGATGTTGAGGGCAATGCGGTGAGCCAGTTCCTTGGTGCACAGCAGGTTGATGTTGTATGCAATAAGGAAGGTCCGGGCACCTGTCACTGTGGCCCCCCACCGGGGGACAAAAGCTGGGGGCCCAAAATCAGGAGCCCACTCTGGTTTTGCAAGCTGGGGAGGAGGGAGGACACCGTGTGGGCTGGCACCACCCAGGAGGACATGCCACCTTCCCATCTCCCTCCCCAGCTGGAATCTGCCATGACCACTTGTGTCACCAGCTCCTCTTGGTGCAAAAGGACTACACCAGGGCCCAGCATACTCCCTGAAGCCAGGGAAGTACAGATCAGGTCTGTCCAGCCTGTGCCTCCACCAGACTCACTTTCTCAGGGAGCGCCTCGTACTCTCCAGCACGGATGGAGGGCAGGGCTTTCCTTCTCTCGTCCCGTGCCGCTGCTCCATACAGGTAAACTGCAAGACACAGCCGGGGGTGAACACCAGCAGGCAGGGGACTTTCTCCAACAGTTGGAATCATGCAGGGAGGGATGGAATGTGGAGAGGTTCCTGACCCCACTCACCAGGCACACCCAGCTCTGCTGCCAAGCGCTGCCCAAAGATGTGGGCACAGGTGACACACTCCTCCATGCTGACGTTCCTCACTGGCACAAAGGGGCAGACGTCCAAGGCCCCCATCCGAGGGTGCTCACCTGGTGGTGGGGCAGATACAGGAATGGGAAGTGGGAAGAACAAGCAGATAAGGAGGGAGAACAACCCTTTCCCACACTCTTACAGATTGGACACCATTGCTGTGAGAAACCATAGAATCACAGAATAATGCAGGTTTGAAGGGACACATCAGGAACATTGAGTCCAACCCCTGGCCCTGCACAGGGCAGCCCCAACAATCCCACCATGTGCCTGAGAGCACTGCCAACACTTCATAAACTTTGTCAGGCCTGGGGCTGGGACCACAGTCCCTGTTCCAGTGCCATGCTTGGTCCCAGCAGCACAGCAGCCCCCTCTGTGCCAGCCCAGCCCCTGGGCCTCTCCCAAGCTCACCTGAGTGTCGGCTCATGTCAATCAGCTGCCCAGCCACATGGGCCGCACTCAGTGCCCCTTCCACCACGGCCTCAGGGGACCCCACAAAGGTGTAGACAGTGCGGTTGGTGGAGGCGCCAGCATCCACATCCAGCAGCACACATCCTGGTGTCCGGGAGATGGCCTGTGCCACTGCATCGATTACCTGCCGGACAGCAGACGGGAGCAAGGGGGCTGAGATGGCTGCGGCTGCACAACAGCCATGGCTTTTCAAGAGAGGGGACATCTCAGCTCTACCCCTTCCCACTGGTGATGGGGTTGAGGATGGCCCTGTGATCAGTGGGGATGCAGCCCTGCACAAGCATCCCACTCCCACCCAGGGGGTTTGGAGCACTCCTGGCTCCCTAAACTTGCCATGGTTGGGGAGAGAGACCCGGCTACTGCTGCATGTCACAGAGCTCCACCACAAATTGCTGTTCCTGAGGATACATCCTCCACATGCCAGCTTCCCAACACATTTGGCTCTGCAAAGCCTCTTCCCTGGAGGAGGCTGTGTTTTTACAGCTGTGATGGGTTTGCTGAACTCTCCTGCCACTGGCAGAGCCAAAGTTCAGTTGAAAGCTGATGCCCAGGACAGACTCCATTAACCTGGACAGCATCTTTCGGCACAGCTGCAAGCAATATTTCTCTGCAGGGGTATCCCACACTAACTCCAGACCTGGTGCTAGAGCAACCTGCAGTCAAAGGTGGAGGAGGTCTGAGCCCCTGCTTCTCACCAAGGTGCTGTAAGGGAGCCAAGGCTACCTTTAGGCATTTTTGGCACTAGCCAGTTAGTGAAAAGTGCACAGCACTGCAAGGAGGCATGGCAGAGTCTAAGAGTGGGTACTGCCCTGCAGGGGGAAACCTAGCTGTCAGCACCCTGGTGTCACCCACCCATCAGCCCTTCTACATACTCCCTCACCTCTTTGTTATTCCCCTCTGAGAAGTTGGGGACGCATTCCACCAGCTTGGCCATGGTCCCAGGGTCTGCTTGCACCCCTCAGCTCCTGGCTCAGCTCTTCACACCTTGGGGGTTTCCTGCACTTTCCAGCCCCACTGTGGAGCAAAAGCCTCTCAGCAGCCAACCTGTTGCCTCTTTCCCAAGCTCGAGTTTCTAATTAACTGAATCGATCTGTGGCCAGGGGACAGAAAGAGGCTTGGATAAACACCACGGTACTGGCCCTGCTGTGCTTGGAAGAGCTCCAAGCACAAGGGCTCTGGGGGGCCAGATGGCAGGGCTCACCAGCACCAATTAATGAAGAAAAAAAATCTGCTGCAATCAGCAAAATGCTGTGATTACCACATGGGACAGCTAAGTCACTGCAACATGACCAGTATTCTTCGTGGGGGAAACAGCTCCTTGCAGGACCTTCACCATGGCTATCAGGTAAAACTCATCGCTGTGAGCAGGATTCGAACCTGCGCAGGGAATCCCTATTGGATTTCGAGTCCAACGCCTTCACCCCTCGGCCATCACAGCCCTGGGCCCCATGGCAGGGGGGACAAGACAGAACCGCATTTTGCTGGGAGGTGGGGAAGTGTCTGGGATGTGTCATGATCTGCAAGGTGAGATTTGTGATGTCGTTCTTTTATTCAGTCTTAGAGTACAAAAGATTATCAGCAAACCAAAGACTTAAACAGCAAAACACACTTTATTGAGTGCTCATCAGCACTAATACGGGATAGAGGGAAAAGAGGAGAAAGCAAAGCATAAGAGAAAGAGAGTAAGGGAATTATAGCTACCAATGTCTAAGTCCACTCAGCCATCCAATGATGCAGAGTGTTCTGTCCATTGGAGAGATCTCAAAGGAAGGGAAGTTTGGGGTATTATTTCATAGTCTTTTACAAAGCGAGTGGCACGGGGCCAAAAACAAAGGAGATTGATGATCATTGTGATGAATTCCATTGCGCAGGGGGCAGGTGTAGGGTAAAAAACAAACCACGTCTTGCAAGCCTTTGCTCACCAGCAGGAATGACGGCAATGTGTCATGTAAACCAATTGTGCAGGGTACAACGCACAAACCTTTGCTCACCAGCAAGAATGAGGACATGTGCAAACAATCACTTAGCAAACATCCACCTCAGCTAGGCCCAAATCCCCAAACCAAGTCCCTTGGTTTGTATTCAGGGTCGCAGTCTCTGTCCTTGAGACAGTTGTGAGACAGATGACAGCATCTGTCGGACCATCTCTTACAGGATGTCCCAAAAACCAAAAAACTGCGGCTCGTTGGTCTAGGGGTATGATTCTCGCTTAGGGTGCGAGAGGTCCCGGGTTCAAATCCCGGACGAGCCCTCTTTTTCCACACCCGCTGCTCACCACCGCCGCAACTCAAGCGCACCGCAAACATGCCCTCACATTCCCGCTCACCACCTCCGCCCCGGCCGGCACTGCAGCCGGCCGACACGGCCGCGGCCCATCTACACTCGGCCCCTTACATGGCCTCTGTGCCTGGAAAATAACCTCCCTGCTCTGCCCCACAAGTATTC